AACGCCAAAACATTATGCCTAACCAGAGCAGTTTAGTGGTTAGAATACTGGGACTTGGCTAAGGAGATCAGGTTTCAAATTTCCTGCTGAGCCTTGGGGAAATCAGTCTCTCATTTACCTAATTTAACTAGAGTCGTTGCTGAGGCTCAGATGAGATATGCCATTTAGATGTGGGTTATGCCATTCACACCCAGATGCGCAGATGGGCAGTATGTTGGATGCTTTGCAAGATAACAAAAGAACACCCAAATCTTATAAGATATGGTTGAGAAAGCTGGGTATGTTTCACTTGGAGAAGATTAAAGGGAGGCATGGTAGCTGCCTTCGGATATCTGAAGGGCTTCACAAAGAAGATGGAGCAGATCTGTGTTTTGTTGTTGTTGTTGTTGTTGTTGTTCCGAAAGGAAGTTCGAGACTCAGTGGGTGGAAATGGCACAGAAGCAAATTTCAGCTAAACAGAACAGAAACATCCTAAAGATAAGAACCGCTGGTAAGTGAAGCAGACTGTCTTGGGCGGTGATGGGCTCTTCTCCAGTGAATTTAAAAGCAGGGAGTGCTATAGTTGCCAGATTCCTGAACCGAACAGGGGTCTATGCTAAATGACCTCAAAGACCCCTCCCAACTCTGAAATTCTATGGATGCGCATGTCTGCATGTATGTTAATCTGGAGACAATCTAGGCATAGAGTTCCTTGTCCAGCAAAAGAATCTGCATGTGGAACCATTTACATATGCAGATATTTCCTGCTGGATCAGGATGAAGAAGGAGAGGGTCCCAAAATGCTAATTCCGAATGGCTGATATTATGCAGCGTATGTGCCAAGGGATGTTGCATTGCAGTTCATCAAGAAAAAATAAAATAAATCAAGGCTGGCAAGATAAATCAAATGAAAAAGAAGTGCTCAGTTGGTCCAAGTTTTAAATTCAAGACAGAAATTGTCAACATGGTTTGCTTTTTTAGTGAAATGCTGATACAGACATTATTGGTGATATGCATTGATAGGCACTAGAGCTGAAATGATTCACTCTTCATATTATTATTTTGTCCTCTCTGCAGAATTTGGTGCTGTTTTTATCCCCCCAGATGTCTCCAGAGGCTTCACTCTGTATTTGTGAATCTGTGTGTTTGACATCCCATCATATTTCATTTCAATATTTGTGTTTGATATTTGATGGTTAAGGTACAATGACATTTAGTATTTTACCACATTTGTTAGTTGAAACACAATGGTATTTAGAGGCTGACAACACTTTATAGCTAACATTGCAATGGGTTCAAATCTTACTCCAGTCATGAAACTCACTAGATGACATTGGAACACCCTCCCTTAGCTTTACCTTCCTCACCAGATTGTTGTGAAGATAACATGGATGGAGAAAACCTTGAACTCCTTGCTGAAAAGATAGGATAGGAGTATATAGATAAATAAATAGCATGCATCCATTTGACAGTGAACAGGTTATACCATTCCTTGTTTAACAAGAAAATCATTACTATGGGAAGTTAGCAAATGGATAGACAGATAGACAGACAGATAGATATAGATGATAGATAGATAGATAGATAGATAGATAGATAGATAGATGATAGATAGATAGATAGATAGATAGATAGATAGATAGATAGATAGATAGATAGATAGATAGATAGATAGATAGATGATAGATAGATGATAGATAGATGATAGATAGATGATAGATAGATAGATAGATAGATAGATAGATAGATAGATGATTAGATAGATAGATGATAGATGATAGATAGATGATAGATAGATAGATAGATAGATAGATAGATAGATAGATGATAGATAGATAGATAGATGATAGATAGATAGATGATAGATAGATAGAGATAGATAGATAGATAGATAGATAGATAGATAGATAGATGATAGATAGATGATAGATAGATAGATAGATAGATAGATAGACAGACAGATAGATGATAGATAGATAGATAGATAGATAGATGATAGAGAGAGAGAGAGAGAGAGAGAGAGAGAGAGATGATTGATAGATAGATAGATAGATAGATGATAGAAATAGATGATAGATAGATGATAGAGAGATAGATGATAGATAGATAGATAGATAGATAGATAGATAGATAGATGATAGATAGATGATAGATAGATAGATAGATGATAGATAGATAGAGATAGATGATAGATGATAGATAGATAGATAGATAGAGATAGACGATAGATGATAGATAGATAGATAGATAGATAGATAGATAGATAGATGATAGATAGATAGATAGATGATAGATAGATAGATGATAGATAGATGATAGATAGATAGATAGATAGATAGATGATAGATAGATAGATAGATGATAGATAGATAGATAGATAGATAGATAGATAGATAGATAGATGATAGATAGATAGATGATAGATGAAGGACTCAAATTTTTGAGAAAAACATTTAAAATGCAAAGCTGAGTGTTAAATTCAAAATGCTCCATTCCAAATGTGAATGGCAAACATGGGCATTTTGCTCTGCTTCGAACAGTCACAAATATTTATTTCAATACTAGTAAGTAAAATGCTTGCCTAGCTTCCAGATAGACTGTTCCATTTCAAACCTTCAGTTTCAAAAGAAGAAGAAAGTTATTCTTTCTCAAAACATTGGGGATGTGATCCAGCAGCTGAGTTCCATAAGCACAGCTGGGGCTTCCCTATTTTTGACCAAGGAATGGTTAACACCACTGGCTCTTTTCCTTCCATAATTAGTGATGGGACCCAGCTGCACATGTGGCTCCCTGGGTATTAGCCAAGGCGTTTCCTCCTTCCACTGAAGATATGTATTATAGAAAGAGATTTGATCATATCACTTGGCAGATCAGAGCCCATGTCAATTACATATGTACTATTTTGTAAACTAAAAGGAACAAAAGACCAATGGACAAATGCTGTGGAACTGGGGTCTGCCACCGTACTGTTGATTTGTGAAAGAAAGAAAAAGTTATGCATCTGCTGTTTTTTGTATTAATAAAGAACAACTGAATAATTGAACAAGAGCCACTAACTTTTAATTTCCCAAGGGAAATCTGCCACACTGTTATATAGGTTCCAAGCCCAGATGTATGGCAAAGAGTTCAGGAAATTAAAAAATATAATGTGAAATTGCTGGAAATATGGAGAATTATTAGAGGGGTTTTTCACATTTGATGAAATTAAAAAGTACAAGATGCAAGCAGGGAGACATAATTCATCGTCCTTCATATTGAACACAAGGAAGAAAAGCTTTGCTGAGGTAGAAGTGTTGCTGTTGATTTACCCCAATTTATTTACAAAATTCAAAGTATCATACAACAAGCAAAAACCATGGAAACATTTTTAATGTAATTTTCAGATAAAAACATTTCAACTTTTAAACCAAGTAAACAAAACCATTTGCTCCAGTCCAACTAAGATGTATGTGGAAATAGTTATCTGCATCTGTGGTTGGATGAGGAACTGGGCATGAAAACAGACATATAGCCCCTTTCCCAATGGTTTGGGGTGCATGTACACCCCAATTTAGTGGGGATTTGATGCCACCAAAATGTGCGTATTTTCTCCGTTCTTCATATGACATCGTCCATGTAAGCTCTAACCTTTCCCCAATAATGAGTATTTTCTTGACCCACAAATTAAGAAAGCCAGCGTAGTGATTAGAGTGTCAGACTGGGACCTGGGAGAACAGGGTTCAAATCCCCACCCAACCACTGAAGTTCACCGAGCAACCTTGGGCCAGTTATTGCCTCTCAGCCTAACCTACATCATAGGGTTGCTGCGGGGATTAATTGAGAAGGGGAAGAAACATGTACACAACCTTCATCCCCTTGGAGAAAAAGGTGGGTTATCAATGCAGTCAGTCAACCAATGTCAAATAAGCCTTTAAAGGAGAATCCAACATACAATACCTGAGTGAGCATGCACTGAAGTACACAGGGAGGTGTTTCTTCCTATGTGTGGTGGCATTCCCAGTAGGTGTTGTCATCTGCAGAGGATGTATATATGATGCTATCTTTATGGAAAGGAAGGAAGGAAGGAAGGAAGGAAGGAAGGAAGGAAGGAAGGAAGGAAGGAAGGACTTTGGTTGAACGCTGCCATAACTTAAACCACTGTTAGTGCCCAGAATTTTCCAGAGTTTTCTCTGCAAATACAAAAGTTAATGCTGCGTGGCAGAGTTACTATGCTGAAGCTAATAACCTGGGAGAGGGCCTTTTCAGTAGTGGCGCCCGCCCTGTGGAACTGCCCTCCCATCAGATGTCAAGGGAATAAACAACTATCTGACTTTAAGAAAACATCTGAAGGCAGCCCTGTTTAGGGAAGTTTTTAAAGTTTGATGTTTTATCGTGTTTTTAATATTCTGTTGGGAGATGCCCAGAGTGGCTGGGTAGGCACGTCCAGATGGGCAGGGTATAAGTAATCTATTAGTAGTAGTAGTAGTAGTAGTAGTAGTAGTAGTAGTAAATTTAAGGTGTGCAAGAGAGATCACTGGGAACCCCATATACTTCACCTTAATGGATGGAAGAAAGATTGGATAGTTCTGATGTTCTGAAAAAACACTGGTGCTTATCTGCCCAAAATGACACCATTCACACACACAAAGGAGGAATCAGCTGACTCAGGGAAGTTCCAAGATTTGCAGAAGTCATTCATAAATAAATAAATAAATAAATAAATAAATAAACCACCCTTTAGACAGAAGAAGAAGAAGAAGAAGAAGAAGAAGAAGAAGAAGAAGAAGAAAGAAGAAGAAGAAGAAGAAGAAGAAGAAGAAGAAGCCCCCCTAAGTGAGGTGTGGACCCAAAGAGCCCAAGGAAGTTTGAGCATGTTCTGTAGCCACGTAATACTGACTGGTTGTTGGGAAGATGATAGGAAACCTGAGGAAGGGTTATGAAATAAAGTTTTATGGAGAACAGAATGGCTGGCTGGTTGAAATAGTGGGTGCACTCTGCTCTGCATGGTTTTGTGGCAAATCTTGCTTCTCGGATTCTCAGACCTTATTGGCATATGTACAAGATTCCAGGGAGACCATGAGCAGGTTGAGGAGGTCAGGGTTGGCCTCAAAGGGCAGGTGGATGCTCTGAACCATGGCCAGCTCACTGAGAATGCTGAACAGCTGCTGCATCTTGTTCCCATTGAGGCACTTGTGCGCCCGGTCCAGCCGGTCGGGGTGGGCCACGTGGACAGCCACCAGGTACTTGAGGAACTTAAAGCCCATGCACTCAGCAAAGCGCCACCGGTAACGGCTGTAGTTCCCCACGGACGTCAGCAATTCCATCAGTGACTCCCAGACCTGAGCAGGACAGGGGGAAGCAAAGAGTCAATAACAACAGCCCCTTGAAGGCAGGCATGAAGGATGAGGAGGGGGCAGCCCTGCCTCCAGAGAAGCCCAGCTCTTCCCATGAGGGCTAGCCACTTGCTTCTTCCAAATGGTTGCTATTCAACCAACATACAGGCAAATGGAGATAAGGAAAGTCAGAGGGGTGGGGAAAGAAGAAGAAAGGTTAAACAATTGGTTTTTTTGCATTCTAAAACTGCCCAATGAGAGCTCCCCACCACCACCGCTTCTGACAAAGCCTCTCCTCCTCAAGGAGGGGAGGAGTTGTGAGCAGGAGCCATTTCAACCCCCTGCCCAACTGCTCTGGCTGCTGTGCCATGCTCCCCAGGTGGCCAGCCAATCGGCTGGAGGCTTGGGGTGGGGTTTAGCCGATTAAACATGGCCCGGCAGCGTTTCTCAGCCATTGTGCTGCTGCTTCTTGTCGGATCAACCACCCACCCTCCCTTGGTTCATTGCTTGGTTCTTGACATTGCTATGGACCTGTGGCTGGTCGCCTTGGTTGGCCAAGGGGCCTGGTAGGAATTTTTATCCAGCTGGCAAATTGGCACCGGCCACTTGGTTTTTCACCTACCTTGTAGCAAATCATCACAACTTTTGGGTATTGGCGGTTAGGCATTGGAATATGGTTGTGTGTTGGAGGGAAGGTTGTAGCCATCACCTACCCCTCCATTTTATGGGTATTCCGGTAAAGGAATCTGGTGGTTGTGGATCCTGTCTGACGCCCTTGCTGGTAGCTAGGGCCATGGCACGACCCCCGGTGACATCAGGGGGAGCTTTCAGTTGTATTTGCATCAACAGGCTCCTCCCACTGGTGGTTAACCCTTGATAGACTCACCCCTCCCCGAGGGGTGGAGTCATGCTCTGTTGTTTTATCCAATGCCTAAGCCAATACCTCTCACATGTTGTAATCAATAAAGTTGTGGCCTTTTTTAGCCCATTAACCTAATATACCGTGTCCATGTGTCTTTCTTATCCTCAAGCGGGTGGTGGGTCCTTGAATCACAACTCTATTCCATCTTAGTTATCCATGATGATAAGTTTGGAAGGTTTGTTTTGCTTCAGATTCTAATCTAGGAAAACACAATGCACACAAACGTTGGCTGGAAGACCCAAAAAAAGTCATTTGGTTGACTTTTTCACAAGTCCTTCATTTTTTAACGCCCCTGCACTTCCTGGTCTTAGAGAAGGAGTAGAAATGAGGTAAGTGTGGAAGACCACAAGAAAAGCCACTGCGAATATTTCTAGCCTGCTTGAATCAGGGCAGCCCTCTGCATCTCATTAAACGGCTTGGCTTGGGGATATTTCTAGCTCAAAGACTACTAGTTGCCGTTTAGACAAACATTCAAAGCAAAGAGCCCTTCAGAATGTTTTTGCTGTAACAGTGCTGAGAGCTAATTCACAGAAGCTCAAATATCACTTCACAATGAAGTGGCCATCTATGATCAAGAAACACAGTCACACTTTGAAATTCACACTTCTCCCAATTTTTGTAGTGCAGTTCCCCAGCCACATAACATGCACAAAAATGCATACACAAGGGTAAAGTGTGCATTAAATCTTGCCCCTTTCTTAAAAAAATTTCTTAAAAATTGTTTATTGATATGTGGTTTTTCTACCGAGGGCCTTCTCGGTAGTGGCACCCTCCCTGTGGAACGCCCTCCCTTTGGATATCAAGGAGATAAAGAACTGCACAATTTTTAGAAGACATCTGAAGGCAGCCCTGTATAGGGAAGTTTTCAATGTTCGATGTTTTATTATGTTTTTATATATGCATGTAACCCACCCAGAGTGGCTGGGGAAACCCAGCCAGATGGGCGGGGTATGAATGTTGCTGTTGTTGTAAACCTACCAAAGAACAAAATTAAAATAAATAAAAATGGGATTTAAGGGTTTTCCTAGGATGGTGGAGAGTTTTTCTGCAGGGTCCCCTTGGTGTAATGGTGGTGGAAATGGTTTGCGGAGGCAGGAACAAAAAATGGGGGGTTGAGGAGGGTCAGTTGGGGAGGGGAATGAGCAATGTCCCTATCTTCACCTGTTGAATGTTGGAGGGTATGAATTACGGGTGAAAGTGTAGGATATTAAGAAACCCCTACAACTTGGTTTTCCACTGGGGCATGCTCTCATTTCACACCGGTTTGAAGCAGTAGCTGGCAGGGACCCACTTCCTGTACAAATTGAGAGGATGCAAAAAAACCAAAGGAAGATTGCATCTCGATTTTATTCAAGGCCTGCCAAGCATGGAAACATGGAATTAATGTATGGGATGCCAAAAATCAGGAGAGGGGCCAGACCTGGCCTCCATGTTGCCAGCTGGCCATCTCCGCCACAATGCAAGGTGCATAGGAAATGTATTATTTCAACAGATTACTCAAGAAATCCCAACATATTAAAGGCTGTACAAACGTTTTCCAAGGGTCTATTTGCTGCCAGATATAGCTACATGAATCAAAATAAGTGATTCTGCTACCTTCGATTCAGAAAGGCCTGCTCTGGACTCATCCTAAGTTTGAACGTGATAATTTAAGGCTCAGAAAATTGAAAGTATTTTCGCTGTAGCTAAATTGGCAGAAAACATTCTCCTGGAGAAAGGGTTATGCTTGGAACAAAGTGGAACTTTGATTGCCGAATGAACATATTTTCTCTTTGTCTTAAAGTTTCATTACCAACAGGTTAATAGTGGCTGGTGTCCATCAAGACTTGTGGGGTGGAATGCAGGAGACCCAAACAGAAGGCAGTGCCAGAGCCAATGATGGACGAGACCAACTAATTCTGGTTTTTTTCCTTATCATCCTCCCTGCTGAGTTCTACATGGCCAACAATGGCGCAAAGGAGGAGGAAGATGTCAGGCAGTGACACTCCCTGGGCAGGTGGTAAGAAAGAAAGAAGGCAGGAAGGTGAGGGCAGGATGAAGTTGGTGGGGCATTGCCCCATTATCCCCCATGGACCAAACTCTGCTGCATGAGGTTCATCTTAACTGGCACCACCCTCTTGGCATCGCTACAATCCTGCATAATAAGGCCAACCTGAGTTTAAGATTTCGGTGACCCTACAACTCACATTTCACATAACCATTTAAAAACACTTATTAGTAAAGCACAAGTTCATTATCCTTATCCAAGCAGTTACCATTTCGGGGCAGTTTCCTGTCGCCCAGTGAGCCTGATGCTACATTTATATGTTTGGAAATAAACCCGACTATCTTCAGTGGCCTAGACAGGATTAGACAGATCTCAAATCGTTGGACCTGAATTTAGCAAAAGTAGTCAAAAGAACAGATACCCCCCACATGCCCCAAAACAATATTCTCATAATCATTTTACAATCCTGGTGAGAATATATGTAGGGCACTTCATCACCCCTGCTCGCTAAAGACAGATTGTTGTCTTCACGCAACTTCCCCTATCCAATGCTCCTATATACAATATAGTAAAGGTAAAGGGACCCCGACTCTGGGGTTGCGGCGCTCATCTCGCTTTATTGGCTGAGGGAGCTGGTGTTACAGCTTCCGGGTCATGTGGCCAGCATGACTAAGCTTCTTTTGGCGAACCAGAGCAGCGCACAGAAACGCCGTTTACCTTCCTGCCGGAGCAGTACCTATTTATCTACTTGAACTTTGACGTGCTTTTGAACTGCTAGGTTGGCAGGAGCAGGGACCAAGCAATGGGAGCTCACCCCATCGCGGGGATTCGAACCACAACCTTCTGATCGGCAAGTCCTAGGCTCTGTGGTTTAACCCACAGCACCACCAGCATAACTGGCTTGCCAATGTGACACAGGGTGCAATGGTACACTTGAGGTCTCGCCCTTATGCTTTCAGAGCCGCTGAAGCAAACCCTCCACTGCCCATTTGGTCAAGGAAGGTGGTGAAACATTTCTCCCTTGAAAAGTACATAGGGCTGAAAGAGGAAGTTAATAGACTGGGGCTCTTTCCCATTTCCTCTTTCAGCTCGATGCACTTTTCAAAGCTGAGGAAAATTCTACTGAGGCTTATTTATTTATTTTTTGACCCACATCCCTTGAAACCGCCAAGTGTGCATGTATTTCCTCTCTCTCTCTCTCTCTCTCTGTTGGGGAGAGGCTGGCACAGAGAACAGGGGAGAGAAGTCAGCAGAAATGGAGGTGCCCATGGCATTTGCTCAAAAATCCAAATGAGCCAATCCAAATTTGGCAACCTCTCCAACATTTCTATTGAGACAGGGGACTCTGTTAAAAGGCTGGAGCCTGAACCTGTGGGCCAGATTGCCTTCCTGGGCCACTGTTGCCTACCCCCACCTTATGATTTTGCTGTCAAGTATTTGCTTTCTATAAGGGACGCAGGTGGCGCTGTGGGTTAAACCACAGAGCCTAGGACTTGCCGATCAGAAGGTCGGCAGTTCGAATCCCTGCGACGGGGTGAGCTCCCGTTGCTCGGTCCCAGCTCCTGCCCACCTAGCAGTTCAAAAGCGCGTCAAAGTGCAAGTAGATAAATAGGTACCGCTCCGGCAGGAAGGTAAACGGTGTTTCCATGCGCTGCTCTGGTTCGCCAGAAGCGGCTTAGTCATGCTGGCCACATGACCCGGAAGCTGTCTGCGGACAAACGCCGGCTCCCTTGGCCAATAAAGCGAGATGAGCGCCGCAACCCCAGAGTCGGTCACGACTGGACCTAATGATCAGGGGTCCCTTTACCTTTACCTATTTGCTTTCTATATAGTAATTGCTGTAAAGAGAAAAGAACCAGCCCATGGGATTGCCTTTTGAAACCACGCCATTTTGTGTGTGTAGGTTTTCATGTTGTAAACAAAGTGAACCTTTCTTGAATGTGCCACGCTGTTTATAGCACTCCTTTGTGCATGTTTGCCTTCATGTTCAGCGTTATTCTAGTTCCTTATCCCATACATCGCCATCAGGTATTTCCCATTGTGTGGGCGATTTAGGGAGGATTATAATGTTACTGCCAGTAATACACCATGAAGAAATCTATAGAAATTAGATTCCCTGCTTTCTTTTGGGCATGGTTCAGAGTAATGAAATACCTGTTGTTCTCGTCCTTTAGCTTCTGTGGCAAAAGACAGGAAAGAAAACGATAGGCTTTACCTCACCGGGAAGTCTTCCTATTTGGGGGAAAAAAATAATTTGTTCCAAAGCAAAAATAAAAGAAGCTTCATAGATTGGAATTTTTAAAGCTCCATCAATAATATCAGCCTGTGCATTTTCCATGTTTTGTTTGGGCAGCCTGTGAACCTCAGTTTTCCTATATAGGGTATGGTGACAAAAGTGTGGTAATAAATGAGGAGAAAATGTCCAAAGGGATGTCTCAGTGATCATGATCAGCACCTTGAAGGGGGCCCTTCCATGGCATGGTGGACCCCATTCTTCTCCTAGCAGGCAGGTGCAACAGATAACTGGTCTAGCTTTCAAACACTGCTACTTGCAGCAGAGATTTTAATTCACCCAAAATACCTCTGGGGCCCTGGCATAGCACCACTATCTCCAGAGTGTGAGGGAATTGTTGTTGTTGTTGTTGTTGTTGTTGTTGTTGTTGTTGTTGTTGTTGTTGTTGTTATACCCCGCCCATCTGGCTGGGTTTCCCCAGGCACTCTGGGCAGCTTACAGAAAATATAAAACATAATAAAACATCAAACATTAAAAACTTCAGATGTCTTCTAAAAGTTGTATAGTTCTTTATCTCCTTGACATCTGATGGGAGGGTGTTCTTACTGGGGTGGGGGCACCACTACCGAGAAGGCCCTCTGCCTGGTTCCCTGTAAGTTCACTTTTCGCAGTGAGGGAACCAGCAGAAGGCCCTCAGAGGAGGACCTCAGTGTCTAGGCTAAGCGATGGGGGTGGAGATGCTCCTTCAGGTATACTGGGCAGAGGCAGTTTGGGGCTTTAAAGGTCAGCACCAACACTTTACATTGTACTCGGAAACACACTGGGAGCCATTGTAGCTCTTTCAAGACCGGTATTATGTGGTCTCAGTGGCCGCTCCCAGTCACCAGTCTAGCTGCTGCATTCTGGATCAGTTGTAGTTTCCAAGTCACCTTCAAAGGTAGCCCTACATAGAGCACATTGCAGTAGTCCAAGTGGGAGATAACCAGGGCATGTACCACTCTGGCAAGACAGTCTGCAGGCAAGTAGATGGTAGATGCCCTGTATAGAAGCCTCAAATATTTTCTTGTTCGGGGCAGTACCTTTGGGTCTTGATCTGGAAGTGCTGGCCAGAGGTGCAGCAGTAATAAAAAGTGCCTATCTCTTGGCTGCCTTGCTTCAATTATTCCTTTGGTTGTTTTGTTTTGTTCCTTGGTTGTGTTTTTATTTAACTTTCCTGCCTAGGTATGGACTGGTGTAGGCAATCTCCTTGACACTAATAAAACAAAATAACCCAAAACATGAAAGCATCCCTGCTTAGGATTGTTGTGGCTGGTGCTGGCTTGAAGGTCTCTATATGCATCAGTAGTAGTGCACCAACCACTCTGTCCTTTGCCAAATTGGTGGGGACTGGAAGATTATCATGTTGTGGGACCACAATGATAGACATTTTAGAGGGCCTCAGGCAGCCCTGGGACTGTTCCACTGAACACAGTGGGATTTGCTTCAGAATAAACATGGCACAGAATTGCCCTGCTAGTGTGGAAAGGACCAGAATCATTCTTTTCCTCTCCTTTGTGGATTAAAATAAAATCATTGTTGACTGTGAATGTTCACTCATATACAAACGGTCCAAACCCTGAAGAATCTTTCTGGGGCTAATTGTTTGAGAAGAGCAGATGGCCAGTTCAATTTGATACGAGTCCAGAACACAGAATTTTGTAGAGAATATAAAGAAGCAAAAGAAAACACTATTTCCAAGCCACAAAAGGGCTTGTGTTTGGGGATAGATTTACACAAGAGCTGATTCACCGAAGGATAAAAGTTTAAAAATACCTCAGAACCAAAAGTGAGTCAGAAGAACATAATGTTCATGCAACTTTGATGCCCATTTAGGCGCATAATATTTCTGCCCAGATCGCTGTGCCATCTTGCCGTAATGAGAAAGAGCTGCTCTCCAGAAAGAAATCCTTGTGTAAACAATGGGAAATCCAGCATTGCCTAAATGCCTAAATGCCTCACAGTGTCTGGGAGCCAAACCATTTCTTGCCATGCATGTACACACACACACACACACAACCTTAGTAGAAAGAATGACTTCTGAAATGGTACTTCAAGCAGAGATGTATGCAAATATAGAGGCAATATACAGGATGGAACCACACATTATTCTGTTTGCATCCCTCCTTTTGAAGCCCAAGATGAGGTACATGGCTCCCCCCATTTCCATTTTTTTTCCTTATGAAGCAAA